CCCCGCGCCGCGCGTCGTGCAGCCTGACCAGACGGATTGACGACTGCAGCTTCACCTTCACGAGAGATTGGCTGAGGAATTCTCCGAAGTTTCGCCCGGAGAGGAGTCGTCGGCAACGGGGCAGGCGGGGAGGGACGGCTTCAAGACGTGGAAGCGGCCGCCGTCATGAAGTTGGAAGCGGGGAATGCCTTAACTTGATTTGCCTTGATTAATAAAAGTTTCTCGTTTAAAGGCTGCGTGTGCGTGCGTGCGTGTGTGAGCTTATGTGTGCGGGCGCTTGTGTGGGTGTGCGAATTGCGGGCGCTTGTGTTTGTGCGCTTGTGTGTGTGTTCGTGTGTGTGGGTGTGCGAATAAACACGCACGTACACATTCTCTTTAGCTTCTCTCGTCGACGAAGCTTTCTAATTCCTCGCTAAGAAAAATAAATGACATAGAACGTATAAATCACGCAAGTTTACCCCCCTCGTTAGCATGAACGTAAAATGCTCTTTCTCTAATGTTCTCATCGGGGAAAGATGCCCCGTGGACGCGAGCAGCATAGAAAGAGCAGCATTAGGAGCAATTCGGGTGTAAATATGTCCTCGCTCATCTGTTCCACATTCTGACGTACATGCAAACGCGGTATTGCAGTGTTCATCTCTCAAGTTATGTTTTCCGTTTCGTTACGTTATGATGAAAGGGTTTTGCAGGCTGACAAACAGTCTGCTGTGATGACAATTTCGCTTCAGAGGAATATCGTATGACTTGTTTCGGCGATAATTCCATGCTGTCACTGAAACGGCATAGACAAAGGTTTAATGTGACTCTGGCAATTTTTTTTCCCAGTGCAAATGTTAGTTCGGAGGTTTTTGCCTTTCGATTCCATGACAATTGTTAAAGACCACAATTCTTATTGTATTGTAAAATATTATGCTTTTAAATGTGAATGTAAATGGGAGGTACATCAAATGTCGAAGTTACTACTGCGCATAAAGAGAAAAAAGACAGTCAAATGGAAACAAAAAACTTTTAGAATGTTGTTCCCTGTACCATGAACTCAGTCCCCTTCTGACTGTTCGGTCCAGTGTTTGGAATACAAACTGAATTTCATTCCCATCACAAACACGGAATTGAGGAATTTCTGCTTTCCTGACAGTAATAGAAAAAAAAAACACTGTACACAGACTTGATGTATTGAAAAGTGAGACAACATTTTCGAAATTCTTATGGATTTCATCTTTAGGACTTTCCTGACAGTATGAGATGGGTGGTTAATTCTTGACATATAATATTTTCACTGATTATCATGACAGTACTTCATAAATGCGAACAGAATTTTCGGTCAAATGAGTTTAGGTCATTTGAGAAAGCTGCTACAAAGTATTACACAATAGGACGTAAAGGCAGAGCTTTTGACGTGTGTAAGTAATAAATGCCGTTCTTATCTTGAATACCGTCTTGAAGAAAGTGACGTCACTTCAACATTTTATAAAGTATATAGAGTAAATGAGCACACACACGAACGTATGTATCACCATGCACGTGTACATATTCACAAATGAAAACTGATTTTAAAGTTACTTATTATTTTTCGATTTCGATCAGAAATGGCTGTTGGTGCCTTGGAAACTGATTATAGCTTCCGGTCTTGTTTAAGAATTTATTGCTTTAAACAACTCAAGGAAAACGTGTCTTTATCATGGTTCTTATTTCTACGAACTAACTGTTGAATACAGGATGCAAAAATCATACAGTCAACACGGACAAAAACCTGCAAGGAATCTATTTAAATCTCCAGAGAAATAGATAGCCTCTGAGCCTACAGCCACTGTAAACCATGTGCTATGTACCATGGATATTCCTCCGGTCAGTGACGAGGAACATGGAGGTACACGTGGATGATGTAGGCATAATCGAATCATAAAAAAAACAGTAATAATACATGAATTACGACGAGGATTTACATCTGATACTTCCAAACTGTTCAAGGTCACAGTCTGGCCATTGGCATAAGGGACGAACAGGTCACGGGAGTCAGGTGACACGGCAGCTCCTTTACAAAAGTTTTATCATTTTGTTTTGTAAAATGTATTTCCACTCTCTCTCTCTCTCCCTCCTCCCTCTCCCTCCCTCTCTCTCTCTATCTCTTTCTATTTTCAGAACAACTATCAATTATGAAAGTAACCGATTTTTTATGACAAGACAGCGTTCCCGTTTTGTCTTATTCCAGGCCGCGTTCCCATTCCCCACGGTTGCCGCCGCATTCCAGAACAGAGAGTCATCAGCTGTTTTTAAGAGCTGATTCACAGGTCCCTTTAAACAACCAGCCAAAGCTCCTTCAGGTATATGCCCTGGAAAAGGAAGAAAGAAACCAAGAAACAATATGCCCTGAAACCAAGATGCTCGCTCGTACCCTCATATGCCCTGGAAAAGGAAAAAAGAAACCAAGAAATACGTTCCTCTGCTCGCTCGTTCCCTCCTGCAGCCTCGCTCATGAAGGCGTTCTCTCCTGGAGTGTTTTCTTCATCGTTGTTGCCACGGAGAACGCACGCGGTGTTCTTACGGTCTCATCTGTCAGAGGAAAGAGGAGTCTAAAAGATTTAAAAAATTAGTTGAAATTCCATGTGTCACGGTGGATATTCTTTGCTGTGACATACTGTTTTATTTTGCTTCTAAATCTCTCTTTTTGTGCAAGGAATGGCCGAGGTTACCATCCACTGGGAGAGTGCGGGATTGAATGGTAATCATTTTAACCAATTAACGTGACATCATTATTCTAAATGATTATAGTTAGGATGTCCGGCAGAGCTTTTAACGTGTGTAAGTAATAAATGCCGTTCTTATCTTGAATACCGTCTTGAAGAAAGTGACGTCACTTCAACATTTTATAAAGTATATAGAGTAAATGAGCACACACACGGACGTATGTATCACCATGCACGTGTACATACTCACAAATGAAAACTGATTTTAAAGTTAATTATTATCTTTCGAATTTTATCAGAAGTGGCTACTGGTGCCTTGGAAACCGATTATAGCTTCCGGTTTTGTTTAAGAATTTATTGCTTTAAACAACTAAAGAAAAACGTGTCTTTATCATGGTGCTTATTTCTACGAAACAATTGTCGAATACAGGATGCAATCAAGAATCATACAGTCAACACGGACAAAAACCTGCATGGAATCTATTTAAATCTCGAGAGAAATAGACAGCCTCTGAGCCTACAGCCACTGTAAACCATGTGCTATGTACCATGGATATTCCTCCGGTCAATGACAAGCAACATGGAGGTACACGTGGAGGATGCAGGCATAATCGAATATTAAAAAAAAAGTAATAGTACATCAATTAAACTGATGAACTACATCTGATATTTCCAAACTGTTCAAGGTCACAGTCTGGCCATTGGCATAAGGGACGAACAGGTCACGGGAGTCAGGTGACACGACAGCTCCTTTACAAAAGTTTTATCATTTTGTTTTGTAAAATGTATTTCCACTCTCTCTCTCTCTCTCTATTATCATCTTTATTGTCGTTATCACTGTTATCTTTGTTGTCGTTATCATTATTATTATCCTTATTGTCGTTATCCTTATTATCTTTATTGCCGTTATCATTATTATTATCTTTATTGTCGTAATCATTATTATCTTTATTGTCGTTATCATTATTATCTTTATTGTCGTTATCATTATTATCTTTATTGTCGTTATCATTATTATCTTTATTGTCGTTATCATTATTATCTTTATTGTCGTTATCATTATTATCTTTATTGTCGTTATCATTATTATTATCTTTATTGTCGTTATCATTATTATTATCTTTATTGTCGTTATCATTATTATCTTTATTGTCGTTATCATCATTATTATTTTATCACCATTAATATTATTATTATCATTACCATTATCATCAGGGTTTAGAGCGTGATCCATCGGTTTAATTATTTAAATCTTTCTTTTTCTTTCTCTCTTTCTCTCTGTCTCTCTCTCTTTCTCTCTGTCTGTCTGTCTATCTCTCTCTCTCTCTCTCTCTCTTTCTCTCTGTCTCTCTCTCGACTGGTATGGACTCGAAATACAAAATACAAAATATCTTTCCTCTCGCTGCCAAAATACAAACGCTTAAAATTGTATTTAATGCAATTCAGATACAAATGCACTTGAATTTGATCCACTCCTGACTACCACTAATTCATTTACTTATTGTTCTTGGAAATCCGTTGTTATTTTTGCGCTGTCGGGGAAGCATGGTGCACTAAATAATAGTAACATACTCTGCGGCTTGTCACATTTGCCACAGAAGAACATGAAACATTGAAAAAATCGGAAACAGAAGTAGGAATATGAAGAGTAAAAGTGAACACAAACACCGCAATGTGTACAGAAAGCTAAAAGAAACTAACAGTTTCGTTTTTAAGCAAGAGTATGTTTACACCCAGCACGTTGCAAGACTCTAACGTGTTAAGAACGAAACAAAACATTTTTTTTGGCTTTTTCTCCTCTCAACGACGATTATTCACCCCTTTTCTGTCTTTAAAAGCTTCAGTTATTTATTGCTCATGGAAATATGTTATTCTTTGTGCTGTTGAGAAAAAGTGATTTCCTGTAAATTAAGATATTTTTCACTCGATGAAATATGAAGCATGATAAGGAACAGGTGTGATGAGATTGCAAAGCTAAGAACGAAATTAAAACCTTGTTTTCGTATTTTAAACTCTTACAGATGTGACACATAAATATGTTTCATTTTAAGGAAGAGAAAGTGTACAACCGGGAATTCCAAGATTCACACGCAAAGCTTAGAACAAATTAAAAGCTTTTAAAACTATTTTCTATTTCATCTCTCTCCTTAGGAAAAATATAACTGGGAAAGATATATTATTTTTTCCTAGCAAGAACGAGTTCCTTTCACAGTGCCTTATTCCAGGCCGCGTTCCCACTCTTCAAGGTCACGTGAAGGCTCCCTATTTAACTTTCAGATCAGATAGAAAGCCATCAGTTGTTTCCCAGATTCCAGGATGAGTCGCAAGTCCCAAGCCACCGCCCAAAGGTTCTTCAAGTGCCAAGTGTGCGGCAAAGTGTTCGGCCAACAGGGTCATCTGTTCATTCACAAGAATGTCCACGCGGAGGTGAGGCCCTTCGGATGCGACACCTGCGGCAGGCGCTTCAGTCAGAAGGGAAACCTCCTTCGCCACTCGCTCTTGCACACCAACGAGAAGCCCTTCGGATGCGGCGTCTGCAGGAAGTTCTTCGTGCAAAAGGCTCACTTGGTGAAACACGTGGTGGTTCACAGGCAAGGGCTGGCTGCCCTGAAGAGGTGTCGGCGGAGGGAGGCGTTGGAGCGAGGGTCCTCCGCTGAGGCCAAGGAGGGCGCCCTCAGGTGCAAGGTCTGCGGATTACAGTTCAGGCGGATTTTCCAGCTGATGGAACACCTGAAAGTCCAGCATATCCTCGGAAGGGTCGACAAATAGGACGCCGAGTACCCCATGATAAATGCGTTGGACAAGACCTAGTTGATATGCCAGTGGAAAAGTATTAAATAAAATGAATTTCATATTAACTACTATCAATTACACATTCCATTTTTTTTGCTCTGTTTTACATAAGTATGGCACACAATATCGTACGTAATGTACATTGCCGACGCCTGATCTTGCAAACTACCGTATAAGATATATTGATGAATATGATATAGCAAAATGCACTGCTAAAGTGTAAGAAGTCAAATGAATCTGGGCGATTTCTTCTAAGATCACATATCATATTGGTTTATTCGTAATATGAATTATGCATTTTCTAAATCTAATGAGCCGTTTAAAGATATCAACGAATATCTTAAAAATGTTTGACCCTTTTTTCATTTTTATTTCTCTTTTTAAGAACTATTAATAATTCTACCTTCGTCACATCTGCATACACTCGATGGAATTTTTTGAACATATAAAACAACAAATAAATGTGAAGCTGCATCTGATTATTTCTTGTATAAATGAAATTACATCTCAGTATTCCGGTAAATACCACATAATATCTATACAATATGATGGTAGAAAAACCCACAATGCACAAACTAGATTTATTGAAGAAAGTGAGACAACAGTTTCGGAATCGTCCTCAATTCCATCTTCAGACCCGAAGATGGAATTGAGGACGATTCCGAAACTGTCTCTTTTTCTTCAATAAATCTAGTTTGTGTATTGTGGGTTTTTGTACCATAGTATCAACACGGTACAATGTTTTTCCTATTATACAAGCTGATGTTTTTTCTCACCGCCAAAATTTCTACTTCGGGAATATAATGGCGATTATTTATACCGTTAGTGAAAAAAAGAAGAAAAAAAAAGATCAATGGAATCAATAGGAAAGTACAATTTACATGCGATATATGATTAAAAAAAAAAGAAAAATGCCCATGCAAGAAAAAATCGCACCAGTTGAATAAAAAAATTCTTTACCCACTTCAGCGTAATCCGCAAACTCTTTTTAACACGGAAACCCTTTGGTAGTCCTTTTACTAGACATGGTTCTCGGTGCCTTTTTTTCTTTTTCTTTTTCGTCTTTTGAAAGATTTGTGGATTTCAAGGATTAGAAAAAAACTAGAAGGGTTTCGAGGAAGTAAATCGCAGTCTACTTTATTTTCTAATTTTATCGCGTCCATGATTTTTGGTGGGAATCGAATGGTGTTTTTTATATCTATCTATCGAGCTATCTTTCCATCAGTCTATCTATTCATCTATCTAGTTTCTTTCCTCTCTCTCTCTCCTCTTCTCTCTCTCTCTCTCTCTCTCTCTCTCTCTCTCTCTCTCTCTCTCTTCTCTATATATATATATATATATATATATATATATATATATATATATAACTATAACTATAACTATTATATACTAATATTATATATATATATATATATATATATATATATATATATAATATATATATATATATATATATATATATATATATATATATATATATATATATATATATATATATATATATATAATATATATAATATATATATATATATATATATATATATATATATATATATATATATATATATAATATATATATATATATATATATAATATATATATATATAATATATATATATATATATATATATAATTATAATATATATATAATAAATTAATACATTTAATTTGTACGTTAGATGGCTGCATTTTGAATGTCAAAATGATTCCATTTGATTATAATTTGAACAGCGTATATTTTCCGAATATATTTTGAAGGTTTTCTGAATATAATCATAAATTTTGGGAACATTTTGAAATCAATTTCTTAATCAACTTATCCTAGCATGATTAGATCATGAATATATGATCATGCATGAATAAATCCGGGTAACATGTATCAAAACAGATTCACAAAAGAAAATTAATGAAACGGTTGCAACTATCTGAGCAGTTGCAACCATCTGAGCAGTTGCATCCATCTGAGGAGTTGCAACCATTTGAGCATTTGCAACCATCTAAGGAGTTGCAACCATCTGAGCACTTGCAACAATCTGAGGAGTTGCAACCATCTGAGCAGTTGCAACCATCTGAGGAGTTGCATCCATCTGAGGAGTTGCAACCATTTGAGCATTTGCAACCATCTAAGGAGTTGTTGCTGATTGCAACCATCTGAGAGTTGCAAGTTGCAGTTCCATGAGGAGTTGCAACCATTGAGTTGCTGAGGAGTTGCAACCATCTGAGCAGTTGCCATCTGTTTGCAACAAGCAGTTGCCAAGGAGTTGCAACCATCTCCAGAGTTGCAACCAACAACATCTGAGGAGTTGCAACCATCTGAGTTGCAACCATCTGAGCAGTTGCAACATCTGAGGAGTTGCAACCATCTGAGCAGTTGCATTGAACAGTTGCCATCTGAGAGTTGCAACCATCTGAGTTGCAACCATTGCAACCATCTGAGCACTTGCAACAATCTGAGGAGTTGCAACCATCTGAGCAGTTGCAACCATCTGAGGAGTTGCATCCATCTGAGGAGTTGCAACCATTTGAGCATTTGCTAAGGAGTTGCAACATCTGAGCTGCACAATCTGAGGAGTTGCAACCATCTGAGCAGTTGCAGTTGCATCCTCAGTTGCAACATCTGAGTTGCATATGAGCAGTTGCAACCATCTGAGGAGTTGCAACCATCTGAGGAGTTGCAACCATCTGAGCACTTGCAACAATCTGAGGGTTGCAATGAGCATTGCAACCATTGAGCAGTTGCATCCATCTGAGGAGTTGCAACCATTTGAGCATTTGCAACCATCTAAGGAGTTGCAACCATCTGAGCACTTGCAACAATCTGAGGAGTTGCAACCATCTGAGCAGTTGCAACCATCTGAGGAGTTGCATCCATCTGAGGAGTTGCAACCATTTGAGCATTTGCAACCATCTAAGGAGTTGCAACCATCTGAGCACTTGCAACAATCTGAGGAGTTGCAACCATCTGAGCAGTTGCAACCATCTGAGGAGTTGCAACCATCTGATTGCAACCATCTTGAGCAGTTGCTGAGGAGTTGCAAACATCTGAGCAGTTGCAACAT